ATGATTGAGTGTGCACAACCCGTTTGCCTCCATCATTCCCTTGAGACGCAATTCTTGCTGCTCAAGTGGAATGTTACTAAGATAAGTGGTGTTAATCCCTTTTCTCTTACACAACTCGTTTATTGGGTGATCACTTCAAAATGGGGCAAAGAATGTAGCTCATGTTTAGTTGACGACTACATTTAATCTATTGTTTGAGTTTCCGTTTGTCTAAATTCTTCTGATAAATAAGCTTAATTGTATGGACAGCCAGAAGTAAAGCCCACTGTCCACTCCAGTGTCTATCACAGTTCTATTAACCTACTTCATGGCGTTTAAATGTTTTTCGTTGCAAATTTGTCTCGCGAGCGCTCTACCAATTTTTGTCTCCAGTGGGTTAATGATTCAAAATCTAATAAAACCTCCTTCCTCCGATCGAGAATCAAGCGTGCTCCATGTACAGGTTTCTATAAACCTTTCCTCGCCTTGATTGCGGATCGAGTGATCGACCTTTGTGGTCCTGGGGAGAAAATGCCAAACGCAGATTGTTTAGTGTGGGTGCGGAAAAGTCTCATCAGAAATAGATTAGATGTTGACACTCCGATAGGCAACTGCCACAAATCGAGTGAGGTCAATCGCGTGGAACGCTAATGGCCTTGTCAGCGCTCCAGGCATCCATGAGTTTGCACAATTGATTGCATGGAGGTGAAATAAACTCACTTTCATTGATGCGTTTCAAACATTGTCACAGAACTGCATCAGTGGTGTGCAAGCAAAATTAATGTGGAAGTGAAACGTGAGCTCTTCACCAGATTTTCATTAAGCCTACTCCCAGGGTTTATTCCAAGGAAGTCAGACTTTCATGTAGCAAAATAATCGCTGTTGTCCATCCAACTGTCCCTCCTTCAAGTGTATCATTTTTCCCTTTGCCTCACCTCCTCTATGATAAATCTCTCGGAAAAGTTGAAAAGTCTTGCACATTTTTACTTGATAAAATTGTTTTAGTACTAATATGACAGTGACATCTCATCTATCCGTTCTTGTACAATACGTTGCAAAAATCCACTAGCTACTTGGGTTTTAATCTCCTACTTCTCTTACTTCTCAACCGTCTATTTTACTTTGCATGTGATTACTGTGTCACGAGAAAGCGATATCCACAAAACGCCCACTAATTTCCCAACCACTGTTCTCAAGGTAACCAATGCAACACGAAAGGCTTCACCAATCAGATTTTGCAGAATTTCCATTATCACTCCCATTATGAAGGTTCTGTTAGATCAATGCACTATCGTGATTCTGCCATCACTGTTACTGTTGCTAACATTGATAACGATACTGTCGACTAAAGTGGTCTCCAAACAGGTGCCTGGCATTTGAACTCGCAGAGACGCGTATACCGACACATGCACCCGAAGGTCTGCTATGGGTCCCATTGCATCCCTAATTCAGACCATAATTGTTTTTAGCTGGGTGTCACCTCACCTGTGGCAAGCGTGTATCAGCCCTCAAAGGTGAGTGGTGGCGTGTCAACTTAGAAGAAATCGATCAGCCAATCACGCTTGACTGTGAGCTCAGGTGATTGTGCTAATGACCACTGCCTACTTGCACAGTTTCGTAATTTCCTGCGAGGTATTTTCACAATGACTGTATCCATCCAAGCACTACTTCAACATATTCGTCATTCTAGTTGAAGAGTTGTTTAGTTTTTTGAGATTTTCATCATCTTCCTGCGAACATCTCATTTTCTTCATCGTCGCCAATTAAACAAGGTTTGGATTAGAAATAGCTCAAATTCCATAAAATCCTTGCACCAAATTTGCTGTCAATTAGTTGGCTACTCGCATGTAAAAAAGTCGGTATTTCGCAGCCTAACTTCAAAGCATGGAATAAAACGGAAGTTGAAAAGATGGAGAGAAACTGCAATACAGTAAACTGCTCACCCCTAGCATACTTGGGTACAAGCAATATCACATCAAGTCAAAAATTATGGTAATTTTGGTAAAGAAACTTCAGTAGACTGTTTGATTACATCTAGTCATCAACTGATCCACCATTTCAGCACATCGAATAGACCTGGGTGCGTCGTAGCGTATTAAATTGGCTGACTATTGTGCAAACTAGTAAGGAACGTCACTGAGTCAACTCAAATGAGGAATTTTAATCCTCAAATGTGAATTGAACGCAGGGACAGACAAACTGACGCTAGTTACCTCTACTTTTGTTCCTTCCTTCATTTTCCGACTGTCAGCACTTTCATGTGGCTGTTCAATACCAAGACAGTGATATTTACCACTCGTATAGATTTCTTCTAAGCGGTGCCAGTAAAGATAATTCTTGCCCATGAAAAGGTGATGACTGAATGAGTGACGTATCTTCAGTGTAATAGGATCTGACTGATATGAATGCAAAGGGCACCTGCTATACGTTTTAACACTGACTCTAACCTCAAACGCACAAAACATGCTACAACAAGCTGTCACTCTGCGATAAACTTTCTCACCCAAGCGTACAGCTCATAGGCAAGGCATATGTATTACTTAAGGAAAGACGTACCGAAACAGCATGATCAGACCAGAAAGAAAGTATCAAGAGGGCGAGGGAAAGTTAAAGGCAAACATTTATCACTCTGGTGGTAGGGGATTATGCGAGGTCACTCTCGGTGCACTCCCACTGCCTCGAGTAAAACGGCCTCTTGGCAGTGATGAGGGCAGCTTCACTCTTGTCGGTGGTCGAAGCTGTGATGCCTGTCCTCTGGCACTCCCAAGAGCTGAGGAACTCCTCACCGTGGCCAAATTCCTATTTAGCGGTTGTGAACGAGGAACACTTGGTGGACGGATTGACGATAGTCCTCTTCCTCCTCTTCCACTACCAGAAATCGCAGTAGGAGCTATCCCTCGACGCATAACTGCTGGAGGCCCTCCAGTAGGTGTGGTTGGCGTCTTTGCAGTCAATGTACGCTGCGAGTTTGTCATCACATTTTCCGAGTTTGCAGCCAGATTTTGTGGCGGTTTCACCGGCCTTGGCATCGGGGCTCGCATCCCACCGGGACGTGGCAACTCTCTTTGACGTTCTTCTGGATGTTCTGACAACGCATAGGTCTCTGAACTGTCCCTCAAACCGCCAAATGACTCGCTCGAAGCAGATAAGTCTATACGCATTGTTCCGGAGTTCAATGTGGTCATTGTGTCCGCCACCCAAGCCTCCACCGCACTGCTTGCATGCTTGGCGTTTTGCAATTGCTCCAAGTAGCTGCCTGGACGAGCGGTTTTCGCAGTTGATGGCGTATCTGGTGAGATAGCCTCTGCGTCAATTGGTAGAGCGAGAGGCGGAGGAACGTTGGATATGCTGCCACGCGGCGGACGACGCAATGCCACTGGAGAAGTAGACTGCCTTGGCGGTGCAACATCATTGGACTGGATGCTACTACTTAATGATGCACGAGTAACGTTCAAATCATACGTAGCACCTGAGTCGCGTAGCTCGGTGGGTCGTTCGATAGACTGATGGCGGACAGGCTCCTTCTGAGACGTCGCAGCCACTGGTGGTTGTCGAGGCAAGGCCTCTCTGCTTCCGATCGACGAGTTGGAACCTCTCAAAGACCCCTCCATTGATCGAGAAAGAGAGCCCCGAGAACGCACCTTCTGCATTACCTGCTCGCCCGAGGCTCGAAGTGATTCTGCCTGTGCCCGCATTATCTCCGTCAACGAAGCCATGTCTTTTAGACTAGATTGTGAAGAGGACTTGTTCCGCAACAAGTCACTCCCTACTGCGCGTTTACCTCCAGGATCATAGCGCGGAGGAACATCCTTGACCCCGCGTTGCTCAAAAATATGAGACAAACTGCCGCCTTCGCCCTGGAAAGACCTATTTAACCGATCATTACTCCGACCGTGACCACCTCCACTACTATCGATAGAGCTCGTGAGAGAAACATTAATTTCACCAGTTCGTCCGCTGGATGCACGAAGCTTCATTTCTTGTTCACGTACCAGCGCCATGGCATCAGACATGTTGGTAGGAAAGATATTAGACCCTGAGTCGCTAGTTTTCATAAGCATGATATCAGGAGCGGAGTGTTTGTGTTGAACTCCATTGGCGACAGGGGTCTGTGGACAAGCGCTGCGCATTGGTGAAGCAGAGGGACGGGGAACAAGAGTTTCAGTACGCTGAAGATTTCGTGATTGAGCAGGATGACGGACAAAAGTAAGGTGACGAGTGGCACCCTGAGGCAGCTCTGAAGAGGGTGTGGGAGGAGGTGGAGGATGGACAGCACTAAGCCGCTCTATAGAAGCTCGTGGACTGGGAAAAACGTCACTCAACTCCTCGGCATCGAAAGTGCGACCCATGAGTTGGGTAGAGTTGCCACTCAAGTCCGAGGCCGCAAGGTTGGCGTCAAGAGAGCGTTGGAGTTCACCTTCCACGTGAAGTAGATTAAGCGAATTCTAAAGCAAAAAATTGGAGACAAACAAATACCAGATGGTTCTTCATGACACGCATTCAAGACCTCGACAACCTGTTTGCATGCGGTCGTGGATTGACAAATTACGTCAAAATTTATTGACGAAGCAATCTGCAGACACAAAGCGACAAGTGTCAATGAAGTGTGTGTACTGTGAGGAGACAAGTCTCGAAGAAGCCAAAGTATTGTTCGAATGTGCTCATTCCAAACTCCTTCATTAAACGCTAGCACCTCCTCCATCCATCTATTCCAAGTGAGCTCAAACAATTACACAAAGCCCCTATGTATTTCCCAAATGCGATGAACAACCATCATTTTGCGAAACCGTCTCTGTAAGATTTTAATTCCCTAATTTTCTGATCTCAAGAAAATGTGACAGCCATTACTTGGGCTACTCAACAAAAGTTGGTGTCACCAAATCCACTGCTTAGCACGGATCAATCAGTCACTCAGCGAATCACTTAGAGGAAAACCAACTACCATTAGTTGTTTGGCATACCAGGCTTTATGTGCTTGTTTGGTAGCCTTCATTTCTAAAGCTTAAAGAGTAATTCACAACATGGCACACCTACCTTTGGGGGACTCTCACCGATTCTGAACGACCCATCTTTGCTAGAAGAAGCTTCTACAACCTTGAATATGGCTTACAATTGGTATAGCATACAGGCTCAAACCATATCCAACGCATTTGACGAGTACCATATTTATTACCATTGAAAATGGCAAGGAAGTAGAGGTCATGGCAGAGAGGACGAGAACGCACTGTACTGAGCCCGACGTATGCTTCTACCTTATAAGCCCATGTGTATTAACGGTCGTTGGAGGTCACCTCAAATCATTGCGGCAAGTCAGGTCAAAAAATGGCCTTTTTTTCTAAGTAAACCTGTAGCAAACGCGGAAAATGGGATGACCTCCCTTGATTAAACAATCTATAACCGAAGGGCATAAAATTGGGGAGAAAAAGGGAAGAAAAAGACCTAACAATAAAACAGGAAGTTACACGCAATAGAGATGGAAAGGCAAATTAGCTGAAAAGAAGGAAAATGAACCAAAATGTGGAAGGCCTTTGCATCGGTTGAATCGACAACACAACATAACGCAATTTCAGCATGCATAATCGAGCGCCAACTCACCCCGAGAGTAGATGATTAACTGTGGGAGAAAAGTGAAGAGAAAACAGATTAACCGCCTTCTTGGGTGCTACTTAAGTTGGGTTCGACTTTAACTGTTTTTTCTTCGAGGAGTAAGGATGACAGATCCAAGTTTCGCTGTTGAATGCCATCGGAATGCAAAGTCAACAAAAATAAAGGCGCCAAAAGTTTAATCAGTGAGGTTGTTAAATAGTTTGAGCAGAAGCCCCGCTTCCATTAAAGAGCCTGAACTGGGATCAGAGAGGAATCGAGTGAATGAGCTGAAAGCACAGCGTTGAAGTCTTCGCAGTTAGACAGTATCCATGAAATCAATGCCTCTAAATGCATGAAAGAATCCCATTTTGGAAGGCTATCTTAAAGCCTAACTCAAAAGCCTGAATTGAAATCAGAACGGATGATAACACAGTTTAACCCAAATTTGGATTGATTGGGACAGACATATCACAAATTTATGACGTGATAATTATTTCATGTTAAAATGAAAAAAAGGGATAAGTCGTGGCTTAATAAAAGGCATTATTGCCTTTAATTTCAAAAAGCGATAGTCCATTACGGAAAAATAAATCTTAGTGAAAAGAGTAGCAACAACAAAGACGTGAAATCAAGCAGTTGGGAAAAAATATGAACAGAAACAGGCGAAAATTACGAAGAGGACATAACAATGGCCAGTCAATAGTTGGCAGAATTTCATCAGGATAAAAAGTTCGAAACACAACTTTGGCTACTATATGGCGTACGCTTAAACACGTGTAAAACACGCGACCTAAAAGCTAATCAACTCAGGAGATATTGTCACGACTTTTATAAGATTTAGTTTCAAGCTCCAAATTCATTACCAATAAAGTAATATAAGGTAACAAACCTTGGAGTATGTCTTCTGGAGATTACAGGCCTCCGAACGATTTGTTTCCCTCCGCTCAGGACTCTTGCAAAATCTAGGATTCAGTGCATCTTGTTGCTGCTTTTGATACGTTTTCATGGGAGTGGAAGAAACTGGCGGACGCTTATTCACAGCATATGTATCTCTGCGATGAAGTCCACCAACATTTTCTTTCTGTTCCACAGCTACCTTCTCCTCGTCTTCACCATCGACCGATTTCGCTGCAAGACGTAGGGTGGAATGATGTCGCACTCTCTTTTCCTTCCCTTGTGCCCGTCTTCTACCTTCTTCCAATGCAAGAGCTTGTAAACGCTCAAGCTCATTCAGCCGATCCAATAGTCCACTAGCTGCTGATCGAATTGGACCCGCTTGCTCAAAGGGAGCCCGGAGCATAGCCGTCAGAGCAACTTCCTCTTCATAAGAGAGTGTGTCTTTGCCGGCAAGAGAGGAATCAGAGCACGCAAGCTCCGCATCAAGCCACCAGCTGGGCGGACCAAGACCTGCAGCTTCTTCGAGCGCGTCCAAATCAGTGGAAGTGAGGTGGCGGGTAAACAGCGGTTCACCTGATAATGTCACATCACTCGGCCACTCAGCCAAAGGGACCGAAACAGCAGAGTCGGTGGGGGATTTGGATGGAGACTTAAGCGGACGACCGAAGGTTGCGGCCAATTTGTTAGAAAGGTTGGTGAGCATTGGGAGCTAGACCAATGCGAGGAATAATTAGATGCCAGAACTATGAGTCTAAACAAATCCACCGAGTTTATGGCAATTTAATTTGCTCGTAAATTAGCCGTAAGCAATGGCTTGAGTTACCGTAAAGCTAAGCAGAAGTTCAAAAAGCGATAGTTATTTGAGAAAGCAACACTCGTTGGGATTCACCAAGACACTATAATATATTTCAAAAGGAATTAAAAATTGCAAACTAGTGCGGCTTAAAATTTACAAGCATTTTTCAACAAATGGACACAAATCATTACAAGACTGAATCAATTCGGAATAAAGTAGGCATAAAAATGCTCAACAACCACATATATGTTAAGTCACAAGAATTCAATCAAAGAAAAACATAACTTACACAAAGATAATAGGAAAAGTATTCGCTGACTAATGCTTTCAAGGCAAATTGCAGCTGCTACCAATAAAGAATCCCGAAATACCAAAGATTTGAAAGACACATGCATCGATAAAATTAGACATAAAGATAGGATCTAAGATAGATAAAACAACAACTACAGGGAAAAGTCACTAAACAGAATTAACGCAACCTTATCAATGTCCAGAATACAACAACCGCTGATCCCCACCAACTAAAAGTAAAATCGCTCAGGAAGAAACGCGTACAATAACCTCACTAAAAGTGTACAACTGCGCTAAGGAAGAGTTGTGTATGGGCAAAAATCGACAACGAGTCGCTACCGCTTTACCCGCCTTTAAATGACCTTCGCAATTTCATGTTTCAAGGCCAGTAGGCCTTGAGCACGTAAGTAAAAATTTAATAATTTCCTACAAAAAGTAGATAATCTTAAAAAATTATAACCTTGAGTTTTAGCAATTGCAATATATATTACTGCGGTTGAGTTGCCCACATAAGGGAGGGGCGGCTGATTATTTTGAACACGAATCCCGCTCGTGAGGGACTCGAAGAGATCATCAGGTTACGTGAACAAATCGCCTCAGCGACACCTTTTTCCTTTAAAAAAAAAGATATTACATAAATCTCCCTAAATCAACCTCCTTATCAAATCAGAATTTCAGGAGGTCTGAGGGTAAGCTTGGAGCTCGTAAAATTAGCGACTGTCCAAGTTTCTACACATAAGCACATAACGCCAATAGAGACTTTGCTACTCATTTTTTCATTGTGCACAAGGGCTGGGTTTCGGACCAAACGAAAGTCTATTTTCTTTCGCATACAGCTAAAATACACGTATAAGGTCCAACTCCTTGTCTTCCTCGCCATGGTGGGAGGCTCGTGGTGACATACTGGTGGCAACGAAAACCAAATCTCTACTTCTCTTTCAATGACTTCTGCCCTGATATTCACTGCTTATGACGTGTATCTACAGTGCAGAGAATGGTCAGGAAGGATGTCTGCCTTTTATTCACCTTATTCTTATGTTTCACAGACAAGATATTAACAACAGAATCTACACTGACGTGAACTATCAGGCAACGCTTTTTATCCAACTTCTTCTGACTACGTCCACACAGGACTGTGTTTGATCC